TCATTGATCACTGATTTCAATCACTCACATAATGATTGATGAAATGAGGAGTGTCTTGGTGTAATGGCCATTGTTCTTCCTCCTCTCTTCTGTAGGCTGGTGTTAGCTTGATAAAGTGTTTGATGGACGTATACAAAAGCATTAACAAGGGACTGTCTGTGCATGAGTAGGGGGCATAGGAAGATCAGGATATATCGCTGGGACTCTATCAAGAGGATATACTGGAAGAGAGAGGGGGGAGAGAGAGATACGAGAGATATGAAATACATGTATACATAAATTTTTGAAACATGTATAATGTACATGTATAAGCAGTATGAACATTATAAACTTATATGTGCATATATTCGTTGCTTATTATATTCATGTACATGTATATGAGTGTACTTATCTGATTTATTAAAATCAATTTTATTAGTAAACTCAAATTCAACTTAATAGTTAATACAGAGCATAAATAGACCAATCACCAAACCAATGCACAGCGATTTAATAAAGCAGGGGAAGTACAGTAGCAGCTCTGTCTTTAAGACCTTCAGAGGAAGGGTTCATACTGAATACCATGTGAAGGTTTCTCATGAGTGAACCATTTGTAGAGTTCTTTGGAGGACTCAAGCATCATTCCTTCCCTTTGTGACCCCTCCTTGCACTGGGTCATGAAGGTTGGGAATTCATTGGCTTTGAATAATCCAGGGACCTATAAATGGGGAATTAGAATTGCATTTTAGTAACTTTAATAATTCATTAAAAAATTCAAATTTAATTGGAATCAGCTCAAAATTAATATACAGCATAAGGACATGCATTTGTATCAGAAAAAAATTATAAAAATGGGGAATTTTGTCCTAGCCATTTTTAGTGAAATTTGGCTAAAAACTAATATAAAGGCTAAAAACCATGGCCAAAAAACGTGTTCCACAAAAACCATGTCTAAAAAAACATGTTCAGCAAAAAACCAAAGGCCAAAAAAACATGTTATTATGTTGTGCAGCTATCTTCAGTCATTGACCCAATTTTCAAGCAACTTTTAAAATTGATAAAAAATCTAAATTCAATAGTTTGGCCTATCATAATGGATGGAGATTCAGTACAAGAGATAATGATAATGATGAATCAGGAAGTAGCTGTGCTCAAGCTCACACTGGTGCCTGGTGGTATAAAAACTGCGCTTGGTCAAATCTTAATGGTCGTTATTTTAAGACTGCAACTAGTACTGCTAAAGGAAATACTTGGTTTCATTGGATAAATTCATATGCTACTCTGAAATTTGCAGAGATGAAAACTCGTCGTAACAATTAAATGCTGTCCCCCACAC